TAATAATAATAATAATAATATAATAATATGTACATGGACTACCGGTACATGTACATGTACACTTTTTGAGCCACAGAGACATTTGATGACAGAGAATTGAAAGTGTGCATGACTTTATTAACACAGCGTGACGGAGTAAAGACTGTAGGGTTCTTCACCCTTAGAAGAAGCAACTCCATATTTTACTGCAGATAAGGGTAGCGTCTGCAGTGCATCCATCCCACAGTTTCCCACACTGCGCTTCAACTTTCTGGGAGCTCCCATCTACCGGGTACAAGCAATGGTGGCTGGGCAAGGATTTTCCCTCTTCAATCTAAAAAAAATCTTCCAAAATCTCCAGGTAGACTTGGAAAGTGCAGGTTTATGACTCTTCAATAAGAATTACTCCTGTCACGCCTGCGGCAGATCCAGCAATTTTTCCATGGGGGGGTCATTATTATTATTTTTCATTTTAACGTACGTTTAGCTGTGATTCGTTATTTTAGTGTCACCGTGTCTGGTATAATTACTTTTCTTTTATTGTAGGTACAGTGCATATGTAGGGTTAGAGGCGTCTGTCCCCAGGAAAGATCGAGACATCACCGGTGCCAGCAGGGTTAGGTTCTCCCTGTTGGCGGGGCAGATGTATTCCCATACTGTAGCGCGGTGACATTCATTCATTTATCCTTATTCGTTTATCCTTATCCTTTCATTTCTGAAATTATTTTTCACGTTAACTTGTACTGCACCGTTGATCATTTTTATGGAAATGGTGCATTCTAAATTTTCAATTATTATTATTATCTAGATGGAGATTATTTTGGATGTCTCATTTTGCAGACAAGCAGAAATGACGAAACATTACATGACACACATGTTCATTGTTTACTACGGTATTGGTGTACACATAAGAATCTGTGGGATGCTATCTTCTTTTTTTTTATTTACTTTAGTTATTATTTATTGTTTTCCCCATTTTTAAAAAAATCCTGTTTTCTTTTCGTCTCACAGTAGAGAGAGAGTGTTTCAACCTCCCCCCAACTCCCCATGCACGCCCACATAACATTTGACAGCCACAAGAGTAATTTAGGCAACATTTGGTGAGAGAGGTGCTATTACTACACCACCCAGAGCATTATCTGTCATAATTCATCTTGGGGAGGTCACCGACCTGCAAATGGGGGGGGGGGAATGGGGGGAGAATGAGGGAGGAGGCCCTCGACAGATTCCATAAACCTCTAGCTGACATACAAGAGACACTGCAACCTCAGAGAGAATTGAATAGATTACTGCATCCCAAGTAGCCTGACATTGCCCTCCTGCCCACAGTCCCCAGGGGCCTGTCCAGGAGACACAATACATGCACATCCAGGCTTGCTGCCCCTGATAAGGAATAAAATTCCCATCAGGAGAACTTGAGTCCTTAATGGTTAAGGTGTGCAGTAGAGTTGTCTTTAATCTTGCATATGGTTGAGACGTTTGTGTGAAGGTAAGAACACCGAACTCTACATTTAACCACAGAGATGAGATGCAATTGGTGATGCTTACATACCCAGCAAACAGAGGTAATAATTCTGTAGTGTCTTGATTCCTAATGGGCACCATAAGCAGAGAGCGCAGTGGTAATCATCTTCTAACTACATGCATATGTTAACACAAATAAAGTATCCAGTACTTAAAATGTGCTGTCCGTGAAAATAGTTTTAAAGGTTACCTTTGAGAATTTTGAAGAGTCAAATTTAAAATTATTTGTAGGTAACAATGTAGTTCAATTAACTCATGCTGTATTTAATCATTCTCTGGTCTCAAAAGCATATGCATGTATCCACTGACAATGCGCTCACACTAAGCTTAAATGTATTTTGAATGCATTATGAAATCTATATTGGACAAAAAAATTAACACTTCTAAAGCATTCTACAGAAGAATGAATACATGCACAATAGATTTATGCATTATTTTGACTGCCAGACAAGCATTGAGCAACACAATGCTGGGGGAGGGGACCACTCAGAGAAAAGGTTACATGGCTGTTACATCAACTCAATTGGAAGTTGATCAAGCTGGGGAACACTTGCTGCAACATTACATGTTCATTTAAGGCCTTCTGAAACACCACAGCCTAACCGTAGGGGCAATGTCACTCCACAGCAACGAGCCAAAGGACTGGAGAGAAAACCAAAGGAAGAGCTGAGCAGGCTCCTCACTACTGCCCCTGAGTGTCAGCTCCACTTACCCAACATAATTGAGCGGATGGCTCTGGTGGATGACAAGGTGACAGATGGGGCAGGTGTTGTTCTCCTCCAGGAACTTCACCAGGCAGCTTTTACAAACTAGAGGGAGAAGGGAGGGAAAAAAACAGACTGTTATTTCAGAGTCAAACCACTCTTGTGCTGTGGACTTTGTACTTGGAATGGTGCATAGCACTATATTCAACCATTCAAGACAGCGCGGTAGAGTAGGACACAGTGCTCGCACGCACCAGTTCATATACGCAAAGTGCAAAGTGCACACAACCTACATTCATCTGAATGTGTACAAAATTTGAATCATTTTATTTAACCTGGACAACCTTGTCAGTTTAAATGCTCACTGTTTTTCCTGAGGGACTCTGGTATTCTGAGGAATACCTACAGAATTGGGTGAGGACTAAAAACCCAATCCACGTGTCAGCCTGGGCAGGATTCGAACCAAGGTCACAGAGGTGGAAGGCAAGGAAATCAACCACTGCATAAACCTATGTGCAAATTTTCTTTATAGGTACCAGGCTCAGAGGATGTTCATGTACCTCTTTGGCCACCCTTGGGGGAACAGGCACTCATTAGGAGTCAACTGTTACAGACTCCTAAAAAATGCCTTTACCAAAATAAAATCATCCATGGGAAAGCTTTGGGTCCTGTATCTGCTTAACCAATCACATGATGTACAAACATGCAAGGAGTCCCTGTGCCTGTGACACAGAAAACTTTAAATGCATAATGGCCAATTCTGTACGTAATGCCAGGTGAAGTTAGGATTGTGCCAAATATTCGGTCGATTATTGAATATTCAAATATTGTTTTCTGAATTTGAACATCTGAGTGCAAAGTTCATGACAAGGGGGAAGTTTCTTTTGTTTTAAATGAGAAAAACTGCACTAGGGAGGCTTGTTTCAAACAGATTCAAATGAAAAGTGACAGAAATTTTACGATTCAAAACGTAAATAATTCATTCAAAAATTTAAAAGGAATAGAAAGTTTCAACACGGCAAGAAGCATTGGCCACATCTTAAATCTTGCTAAGTCTTGCCGAGGCCAAGCATGAAAACAAGTATCACTTTGCAATTTGTCTGGGAGCTTAAAAAAGAAAAAAGAAGCACTGACAACGCACTACAAAATGTTGTACAAATCTTGAACACATGACCACTGAGAGTCAGCATCTGTGACGTCTGACTTTGGAAAGGGTTGTGGTTGAGGTACCCTGGCATTTTAAAAAGTTTGTTTGTGCAGCCAAAAATGATAGGCCCTACAGTATTGCACAAAGGGAAAAGTTAGTGGTGGAATTAAGACATCTGCACTTACATTGTAATTCTACGGTTCTCATGTTTCTTTTTACCTTGATGGAGGGCCAGTCAGTGGGGAGAAAGAGAGCTAAAAATCCAACTGTGTTCATCACAGTGCATTATTTGTATGGACTGGGCTGTTGAATTGAATGAAGATTCAACCAAGTTGTTGCTGAGCTCTTAATTCTGCAGGTTCCCCGAAAACTTGATCCAGTTCTAGTTAAACCCATTATTGACATAATTAGTGCCGTCACAAGTGCCCCATTACATGTACCCAGTGCTCGAATGAAAAATGACAGGTTCCCACTTTTTTTTTGGTTTAATCTGCGTCCAAAAAATAAACCGATTTATCATATTTCAGAGCAGCTGTAGAGCACAGGGAAATGTGCAGGTGAATTATGCAGTGGCATCTTGCTTTACGCCCAGCTTCAGGTTTTGGTTAGCTTTCACTGTTCAGTGGATACTGACCATGTAGGAAAAGGGGTTACAAAAAACTGTGATGAAAGCCAAGAAAAATTTATCGAGGATGTGCCAATCATGTTGGACATACCATAAACAGACACAAAAATGCAACATACCGGTAATAAAGTGAACCTCCACACTTGTGGCATGCCACACAGAGAACATTTTCTGCTGTTTTGTAAGGGCCCATGCAATGCAACTGACTCACACCCTTGAAAATGCACTTTTTGTGTTTTAATTGAATTTATTTTCCACTTGTTTTGCTGGTTTCAAATGTATTCTTATGCCTCTTTGGTTTTTATGCTTATTTAATTTTCCATATTCACAAACAAAACTGCAACGTCGTTTCGGGAAAAGACATCAATCTTGAATTGATCCGTGCATAAAAAAATCCTGCAGAGGTTTTTGACATATGCCATAAATTTCCTCTCTCTTTTTGGTGATTTACTTTTTGTAAGTACGTGTAAGAGAAAACCTTATCAATGTTTTCAATGAGTAATTTGGGATAAACAATTTCAATTCCCCCCCCCCAAAAAAAACGAACAATGTTTTCCGTGATTGACATCGCTCAAATAGCGCCTGAACAGCCCCGACAATTTTAATGGAGTTTCCAAAACTACTGGCCCATAAAGGAAGAAGAGTTTACAGATTAAGACCAATTCATCTCAGGGCCCCTTTACATCAAGTGATGACATTTGTAGGTTAAATTCAACATAAACCTCATTCGGTAACAGCTGTCCATCAATACAACGTAACAAATGGAGCATTTCAAATAAATACATTTCACTGCAATAGCTTCCTCTAAGAAGAGTTGCATCTTACCTGTATTATTCTGATCTTTTGACTTACATGTATAGTGAAGTCGAGCGCTTCATCTTAGATTAATTCATCATAAAGAATCCAAGAGTTATGACTGTTACAAAAGGATTCTGCTTTGGTTTTTTCAAAGGCATTTTCTTAAGCTTAAGTAAGTTGGACACTTAGCACATTCCGATGCCCTAGGGGGGCAATTTCGTCTGAAAACTAAACCCCTTTCAAAGCCTTTTGCCTACCCCCCCAGCTTGTTACAATATTCACTGTGTAAGCCTGGGCATATGTCTGGTATGCAGACGCCCGACCCTTCTTGACCCCGTGGAGTGTCAATCAAGGCTGCCCTGTCACAACACACAATCCCCTCCACTGCACAACTCCTGCACCTGTCAAAATGCACTCTTCAAGCCCGATTCATTCATACTTGGTGACACTGCAAACACAAGCGCGACTTTGTGGCATCAGAGCAAATATTTGCCCTGCAAATTCGCAAAGTTGAACATATGTCAGGTTAAGCCAAATTTTACTGCAAACATTCCATGATATCTAATTCCCTTCGATTTTGCATTTGCCTGCAGGATGATCCGGCCATAAAATCTTCGGATTTGGAAAGTCAGTTTTCCTAATTTGTGGATAGCAGGAGTACCTACATGTACATAGGTTGTCAAAAATATACATTGCAAAGCCTTTGTTTTAAAATTGAGAGAAAAACGTATCAAAAAGAACAGTTCTCATGAAACACTTTTTAGGCCTAAACAACCTCTCCTTTTATGCACAGACCTAATCCAATAGGAATGCCGTGACAACAGACGTGAAAATAAATAGACATACCAATACCACACAGTGTCTCAAATTAAGGAATCCTTTGTAATGTATCAGTAAGATATGCTTCACACATGTATGCGGCACTTAGGCTTAAAAGAAATTGCCTCCCATTTCCCAACCTCTCCTATTTTGATGATGCAACCCCAAGTGTTTTTTTGGGGGGGAGGTGCGAGGGGAATTTTAATAAAATATGAATAGGAAATAAAGAAAAATTTGTCTCATAGTTAGAATGTGATACAAAAAGGTCAAATTATTTTAGTAAAGGAAGCAACCAGTACCCTTTAAAGTGTTGCTCCTTTCATTTGAACGAATGCCACCCAACCTCTTTGCTGTTGTTATTGAATGAACTAGTTAACACTAAAGCCTACCTGCACATTGAATGAGTATAAAAATGAGTATAAAAATGAGTATAAAAAGTCCCCTCCTCCCCCCCCCCGAAAAAAAAAAATCATACCCACCAACATGTATCCTGTTTCCAGACGACTGGGGGCTTTAGCTGAGAAATGTAATAGTAAACTACCAGTGGGGAACCTGAGATCATTTTCAGCAGAAACAAATATTATTTCACTGCTCACAATACATGTACGTTATATGCTTGAACCCAAATGTTTGCTTTGAGTGCATCTTCCTAAAACATTGTATCAGTTGATGAAATATGTTCATGTGATGTACACTCCAACATGTTCAGCAGTGTCTAACTTCAGAAACTGCAATGAACGAATAATCTACACAGGGTTGTGAAAGTACACATGCTTGTGTGTGGACATAGAGTACCGAAGTGAATACATCACGCGCACATTTAGTGTGTAAAAGGCATGAGCGCGTGAACCAACGCGTGAACCAACACGCGCGTATTCCATGCGTTTGCACTGCACTTTCTGGTTCACAGTGACGCCACACTTCGGTTCTCCATACTGCACCGCGCCTCGATTGTAACTCACTCCAGCAGAGTTCCAATGCCACACATATTTTTTTCTCCAACAGTCCACATGTAGTATATTATTCCCTTCCATCTGTTGATACCATTTACACAAATACATGCCCAAGCACGTACATGTACATTCAACATCCAAGGGCAATTTCAATTTAAAGTACGGTTTCACTGCCCAAAATACTGAAACAGCACAAACTGGCTCCATTGAAACTGTCATTATTGTAAACTGAATGCAGAACCTGTACAATGCCCTCCTCTCCCCGCTTTTGAGACTTTCTGTGTGGATGATGGAACATCATCGCAAACTACAATGTTTGAGCAGGGCTGCCCAATGCTAATTATGACAGACTAGCCATGTCCAAGGCAGGCTCAGCACTTTTTTGTCCAGGGCGATTCTCAGGCCTCACGCACGGGACCCACGGACCTTAAGGGCCTCAAGCCGGACCAAGAGAAGGTGCTACTTTCTTGGCAACGGAAGCTCCTTTGGTTGGAAGTGAACGTCGCTGGTTCACAAACAACTAGTAAATGCCAACACAACGGTCGCATAGCTACCAACAAATTGAACACTCCTGACCAACGCGGCTCTTTTCGACCAATGAGGGGGTGCTTCTGCTCGAGGCACATGCCCGTAGCTAGATTTACCCAACACCTTGGTCAAGGCTAATGACGGGGATTATGCAGCGGCACTTTCACCAATCATTTGTTTATTTGTTGGAGTGTTAAATATACTCGCACAAGCATGACCGCCCACTCATGTTCGG